ACAAAGACTTTTAATCAGCTATTTTAAATATATTGAAGGAACTAAAGGAAACTGGGTCTAAACTACTAAAGAGAAGTATGTGACCAATGTCTCACTGAATAGAGAATATTGATAAAGAAATATAAAAGAAAAATAGTAACTCTGGAGTTGAAAAGTATACCTGAAATAAAAATTCAGTAGAAGATTTCAACAGTAGATTTTAGTAGGCAAGAATCACTAAACTTAGAAATACATCAATTGAATTTATCCAATCTGAGAAACAGAAAGAAAAAAATAAAGAAAAATGAACAGTATAGAGACCTGAGGGACACCATCATGGATGCCAACATTTACATAGTGGGAGTCCCAGAGGTGAGGAGAAAGAGAGAAAGAATATTTGAAGAAATGATGGCCAACACTTTCCAAATTTGATGAAAAACATTAATTTACACATCTAAGAAGGTTAATAAAAGCCAAATAGAATAAGCTTAGAAATCCATATCAAGACATGTTATAATCAAACTGTTAAAAGATAAAGATAAAATCTTAAAAGCTGCAAAAGAAAAACAATTCATCACCTACAAGTGGACCTCAATGAGATTAATAGCTTATTTCTCATTAGAAACCACAAAGGCCAGAAGGCAGTGGAATTACATAGTGAAAGTGCTGAAAGAAAAAGATCGTCAGGCAAGAACTCTATATCTAGCAAAACTATCTTTTAAAAATGAAGGAGAAATTAAGGCATTCACAGATTTAAAAAAAAAAGAGTGAGAGAGAATTTATTACTAGCTGACCAGCCCCACAAGAAATACTAAAGGGAGTCCTTCAGGATGAAATGAAAGGATACTAGAAAGTAACTCAAGTCCATATGAAGAAATAGAGTACTAGTGAAGTTAATATCATATGTAAATGTAAAAGACAATATAAATGAATTTTTTCTTGTAACTTTCATTTTTCTCTTGATTTAAAGGACAATCGCATAAAGCAATAATTATATCTATGCTGATAGGCATAAAATGTATAAAGATGGAATACAAGTTAAGAACAAGTTCTTAAAGACAGGAAAGGGGAAGAATAGAACTATATAGGAGTAAGTTTTTTTGTATACAGCCAAAATTAAGTTGATATTGATCTGAAACATTTTATAAGATGTTAATTTATTAACCATTAAGAAAATAATTTTTAAATGCAGTAAAAGAAATAACAAGGGAATTAAAATAGTATTCTACTATATATTTAACGCAAAAGAAGGCAGTAATAGAGAAACAGGAGTAAGACCTTTAGAAAACAAATAGTAAAATGGCAGATGTTAGTCTTACCTTATCAGCAATTATATTAATGTAAGTGGATAAACACTAAAATTAAAAGGCAAAGAATGGCAGAATAGATTTTTAAAAATGATCCAACTATATGCTCTCTACAAGACACATAATTTAGATTCAAAGACACAAACAGGTTAAAAGTAAACATATGGGGAAAATATGCCAAATAGAGAATTCAACCATAATAACTAGATATGATGTCAATACCCCACTACTTATGGTGACTGCTAATGGTTACGACTTCTTTTGGGGGTGATGAAAATGTTCTGGAATTAGAAAATTATTATTGCACATTTAAAAACACTTAATTGTACATTTTAAAATGTTTGCTTTTAAGGTATGTGGGGGGATAAAGGTTCTACCCCTATTCCCACACCCTGCCATAAATACTCAGTTATGGGGACAAGGGAGTTCCCACTGTTTCCCTTAGTTCTGCTACTCATCATGCCTCATATAAACGTCTAAGAGAACTGAAGAGACACATCCTTACCTTTAAATAAATTTCATGGAAAATAAACCAAACTCATAGCGTAAGGGACTCAGAGTCACCTGGACCATAGGCAAGGAATCTGTGAACCACTCTGGATCAGCATTTCCCAAAGTATGTTCTAGAAAACACGCGTGCAATGGGAAATAAACAGATTGCAAAGAAAAGGGTCTGGTTAAATACAATTAAACTGTTTTCTTTACTGCTAGGACTTTGTGTCTTCAGTGTGCTAGTGCACACTGTAAAGCTTCAAGTCCAGGGTATGGTTGCACCATTTCCCAAGCTTATTTAATGAAGGAACCCGTTTCTTCCTTAGAACATTTCTCAAGTCTAATAGAAAAATTTGCTGTAGACATCTCAGTTGAGACATCTCAGAAAACCATAGAGTCCCCATCTGGAAAGCTACAGAAAGGCCAGACCCCTATTCCATGAGTAAAGATAGAACATAGCTCCCTCTGATCAAAAAGTCAAAATGCCCTAGAGCGTGGATGATGTCACATAAGAAACTAGAACAGGACATAAAATCTTAAAAGCTAAAGCATTTGCTGGTAGCTGTCTTACTCATCTGTAAATACCCATCACCTAGAATGACATCTGACAAACATTCAATATGTTTATGAAATAAATAAATGAAAAAATAAAACTAGGAGCGATTCGAGCTTCAAAGGGATTAATTTGTACATAATAAATATCAGCTTTTGGAAATCTTCGAAATGTGATTTCATCCAGAAAACAGTAGCAATATGTTTCCCACATCAGATACATTATATCATCGGTTGTTTAGAGAACCTATAAGGGAGCAGGCAAAAAGGCAGCCAATCCTTCCTAGTCTTATCTCCTAGGTCTTCTACCAGGAGGTGGCTGGCTGGCTGGATTCTGGGTCTGACCTAAGATGGCTCTTCTCATGTTCTTGTCCTTAGGCTGGGATCATTACAGAGGCAAAGCTGAAGGATCTGACACCTCCGATGCCTGTGATGTTCATCAAGGCCATTCCTGCAGATAAGCAGGATTGCCGCAGTGTCTATCCTTGTCCTGTGTACAAGACTTGTCAGCGGGGACCCACCTATGTGTGGACTTTCAACCTGAAGACTAAGGAGAATCCATCTAAGTGGGTTCTAGCTGGAGTAGCTTTGCTTCTACAAGTTTAGCTTTCTGTAGAGTCAGCGAGAAAACAAGGCTGGGCTGGAAACTTCCCAGAGGGACAAGTGGATGAGTGGTAACCACAGACACAGAGAAAAATAAGAAATCATAAGCACTCACAATTCTATAGAATTCTTGTAGAGAACTCAGAGACAAGTGCCTAATGTGAGGCTGAGCGGGAGGAGTGTGGACCCAGGAGCTAGGGAAGAGGCACTTCATAACACTGAATCTTCCTTAATAAAGTGATTTACTCTTCAACTGTGTCTGGTCTAAGCCTTGAGAATTGCAGAGTCATAAATAAAGATCCCAGGAGAAACAAGCCACAAACAATTGAGCCCTAATACTGTTACACGGCACTGCTCTCAATGCTCTAGCTCCCAGCTACTCCATGGACTAGTGGCATTGGCATCACTCATAAATCAGTGTTTGCATTTTAACAAGCTCCCCAGGTGAGCTGTATGCACATTATAGTTTGAGAAACATTACTCTGGACCAGGGGGTCACCAAACTTTTTTCTGTAGAGGATCATAGTAAATAGTTTAGGATTTGCAGGGCATACTGTTTGGTTGCAACTACTCAAGTCTTCCACTGGAACACCAAAGCAGCCACACACAATACATAAACAAATGGCTGTGCCCACATTCCAACAAAACTTAATTTACAAAAACAGGCAGTGGGCCACATTTTGCTGATCACTACTCTAGAAGAAAAGTATATATATAATATTTATCCTTCATTAATTCATACATCCACTCAATAAATTTTTATCTAACATCTACTATTTGCTGAGAACACAACTGTCAATGATAGGTTGTTTCCTTTTATATATCTCTACCATCTGTCAGATTAGGAGGGACCCAAGGAGAAACTCTTCACCTAAAGCTGTTTAACCTAGAAGTTTACTAGAATTTCCTCTGTGGAATATATATTCTCTGGGATCCAAGTAGTTCTACAGTTTTAATGAGTTTTAAAGAGCTCTATGGGGAGGCTTGTTTGGCAAGAAGAGTCTGGAGGGCCTAGTATCCCTTCTAGGATCATTATTCCCACATATCCTTACGGAGACTTTTTTCTGGATTAATTACTACCTTGAGCAGGCGTCAGGATACCCTGAAGGGCTTGTTAAAACAAAGATTGCTGGGCCCCACCCTTCAGAATTTATGATTCATTAAGTCTAACAAATTGCCAGTGCTGCTGGTCTGGGAGCCGCACTTTGAGAACTTCTGATTTAAAACATAAAACTCTACCATTCTACAAATCTGTTATGCAGAATGCAGAATCTAATGACAATTCCTCGATGATTTTCTTGCTTTCCGCCCCGTGGTTCCTGCATCCTCTAAAAAGAAGCCATATTCCTCATCTTCATGCTATAAGAGAGTTAACAAACACCTCTGGAATCCAGGAATTGCAACTTCAGTTTTGTCTCTCCTCTCATCAATCAGTAATGTACTTCCCATTGTTTGCCAACAACCAGCAGTTTCTTGCCTATAAGTTAATCTGTCTTCAGAGATAGGTCTGTCTGCTTCCTTATTATCATCCTCCCTGATCCTCACCAAGAATAATAAAATAAGAACAGACAAGGGAAAGGCCAAGATGGAAGGAAGGTGGAAGTTTTACTAGATAAGTGCAGGACACTTTGGGGAATGTAACTTTTGAAGAAAAGGACAAGTGGGAAGGTTAGTTATATGTGTTAATAAACCTCTGGACAGTACTACAAATCGTATCAATACTACTGATTTCTTCCTAACACCTACAAAATGAAATAATAAAGATAATTTTAAAGCACAGAACACTTTGGCAAAAATGATAGCCTAAATGGGATGCTAGGAGAAAAAGAGGCAGCTTGAAGTGGGAGATAGGCTTGGAAAGTGGACACCAGGGACAGACTTACCTGAGACCAAGAATGCCCAGCACTGGCCAAGCTCTCACACCTGAGCACCAAGCTAGAGCCTTCCTGTCACTGGTCAACTGCTTGAAAAACTTGATATGTTTGTTCAGGATGATCTAGAAGCTCAACTACCATTTAGCATCTTTATGAGAAAATGCACTTTGAGTTACAATCAACACACAGTGGATACTTCAGACACAAGCTCTAAGTTTATTTAAAACAGGGGACACTTGACATTAATTTTGTACCTGTATGACAAAGAACACGCATGAGCTCACTGGCCCTCTACGCTCCTCCTTTTGTAATGGAAGCCCTGCTCTAGAACCCCAGTTCTAAAGGGCTGATCCAAAGTTCTTCCCATAAACTGCAATTATGGCTAATCCAGTTAAACTCTTCCCAGGTAGCACTTCTAAAACAGGATCTCCAAGTCATAGTTTTTCCCATCTCTTCCCAAAAGAGATGAGGTGAAAGACGAAGACAATTCTTTCTACTGATGCAGAAGCAAGATATTAAACCAGCATAAAATCCAGTCCACAGGCCCATATATCTTCCAAGTCCAAAACCATGTTCAAGTACTGTCCTCTCTAATCCGTTCCGCTACCCCCCAAAATAGGGATATCCTCTAAAAGATGCAATTTCTCTTGATAGAGCTAAGTGTTTTTAAATGGGCCAGGAGATAAAAATAGGCAAAGAGGACATGGCTATTGAAAGGGCTTCTTTCCTAAATGGGATCTTTGATGTTTATCAAGGCTCGAGCTCCAGCTGAAACTTTTCCCGCAGCAGGAACATTTATAAGGTTTCTCTCCTGTGTGAACCCTCTGATGTCTATTAAAATTTGATCTTTGAATAAAACTCTTTTCACAGATGGGACATTTATAGGGTTTCTCTCCTGTGTGGATTTTCTCATGGTGGCGCAATCCTGAGAAGTCACTAAAGCCTTTCCCACAGTAATCACATTTACAGGGCTTCTCTCCTGTATGAATTCTCTGATGTTTCACAAAGTCTGAACTCCGTAGAAAGGCTTTTTTGCAGGTGGGGCACTGAAAGTATGCCTCTCCGGTATGAGTTCTTTGATGAAAAACAAGCTGAGAATTCCTGTAAAAGGTTTTCCCACACTCCCTGCAGGTGGGGAGTTTCTGGGCCATGGGGGCTCTTGGCTGCCCTTTCGGGGAGGCCTCTCTCTTCTCCTCAAGCCACAGCATAGACAGTTCTCCTGGATAAGGATTAGGCAAATGATGACCTAGCTGCTTCCCAGAATTCCTTTCTTGAGAGAGTTGTCCCCCTATCCCCTCATCCTGAAGGTTTTCCTGACCTTCAGGAGGATCCTCGCCTTCTCCAAAGTGTTTCGGCCCATCCTCACTGAAGAGGCCACTCAAGGAAGCCTGAGAAGGTGTCTCTTCTGAGGCATGACAGGAAGCATCTGAAGGTCCCTGGCCCCTATAATTTTCCAAGTTTAGGTTCTCTTTGTCATTCTCCTGTCTATCGCCTGAAAGAAGAAGATTTGAAACAGCTCAATAAATTGTATGCCCAATTTTCTAACTCATATCAAAGAAAGGATCATCATAAAACATTAATTATTTTAACAAGAGGGTATCAGTGAGTGAGGAAGAAAAATATCATCCAGCCTGTGCACCTGGCACTTACTTCACTTGTACTGGGATCCAGGCTAAGTGATTCAGCTCTGGAGCTCAGTAGAATGTCTGATAGCAAAGGAATGCTTACAGAGGGCTTTGTTGAACACCTTCCCCCCACATCCCCAAAAAAGCAGCTTGCTTTTTTTAAAAATTCTAGTTGACATACAATATTATATTAGTTTCAGAGGAATGCTTACAGAGGGCTTTGTTGAACACCCTCCCCCCCACACCCCCAAAAAGCAGCATGCATTTTTTAAAAATTCTAGTTGACATACATTATATTAATTTCAAGTATACAACATAGTGATTCAACATTTATACACCTTAAAAAGCACTCACAACAACAAGCAACCATATATCAACCATATATCACCAGTTATTATATTAATGGCTACATTATTTATGCTGTGTATTACATCTCCATGACTTTATAATTAGAAGTTTGTACTTCTCAATCTTTCTCCCCTTTTCCACCCAACCTCCCAATCCCCCTCTTCTCTGGCAACCATCAGTTTGTTCTCTGTATCTATGAGTTTGTTTTTGCTTCATTTTGTTTGTTCATTTGTTTTGTTTTTAGAGTCTACATATGAGTAAAAACATATGGCATTTGACTTTCTCTGTCTGACTTATTTCACTTAGCATAATACCTTCTAGATACATCAACATGTCACAAATGGCAAGATTTCATTCATTTTTATGGCTAAGTAATATTCCATTGTATTTGTGTGTGTGTGCATATGTACATCACATTTTCTTTATCCATTTATTTATTGATGGACATCTAGGTCTTGGCTATTGTAGACAATACTGCAATGAATGTGGGGTGCATATGTTTTTTCAAATTAATGTTTTTGTTTTCTTCGATAAATACCCAGAAGTAGAATTGCTAGGTCATATGGTAGTTCCATTTTTACATGCATTTATTAAGGCTCAGGAAAAACGAGTGTATTATATAAGAGTGCTACTTTAAAAAATTGGTTTTTTTATCTGATTATATATAAGATAAATATGATCACTAAAAACAACTTGAAAGTATACAGAAGAAACCAAATCAACCTCAATCATACTACCCAGAGGTAACAACTATGAGTACACATTTTCTTCCAGTCTATTTTTAACCTGTGTGTGTGTGTGTGTGTGTGTGTGTGTGTATATATATGTATATACATGCCTTTTTCTGACATAACTGATATCATATTGTATATGCAGTTCTATAGCTGGCTTTGTAGCATTTAAATTGTAAATGGTGGTAATCAATTTCACGTGGATTCTCCCATTCACAAGTAATCCAAAAATTCATAAAATGCATCAATGTAGTTTCAATGCACAGTAAGGCTATAGCGTAAAAGTGAATCCCTCAGTCTATGCTTGAATCCAGCATTCATTTGTGCTTCATTAACTCACGTAATAGAAAAAAATTTGTTTTCTTCCGCATAACTTAGGTTTTCGGTTATTACAACTTAACGATGCACATAGTAAAGATCTTTATTTTGGTGACAGAATTTATTTTCAGCTTTTATAAATTACTTTATTCCTATAGGTCTAAAGAAGTTATTTACCTTTCTCTTTCCTATACTTGTGTCTTTCAAAGTATCTGCTAGAGACCCAGGGGTATGCTAAAGAAGTAGACCTGAACTGGTTCATTTACAAAGCCTTAGAATACATTTCTCTTAAAAGCCAAAGGTACCATCTCTTGTCTTTAAAGAAGCTTTTACAAATATCATTTTAAAGAGTTGAATAATGGTCCATCGTGGAGATGTCATAAAAACAAATAATAAACATAAAAATTTTTTAAAGAATTCTCCTACTGTGGAAATTGAAGTTGTTTATTGTGTTTTTGCTATAAATAATGCTGTAATAAGAATTTTCCTTTATAAATTTTCACTCACATTTCTGATCAATGCCTTAAAAGAGGTTCCTTGAAGTGGAATTACTATGTCAACAGACATAAATTTGTCATCAAGGATCCTGACATTTACTGATAAATGGATTTTCAGAACAACTATGCCATCCTCTGGTATGAAAAGCTGGACAGACTGAAGGAGAGTGTTCAATACTTAAGTATTGAATTTTTTAAAAAACTTTTCCATTTAGACCAGTGAAAAATGGTTTTTCATTGTTATGAGTTTTATTTCCTTAAAGGAGGAATTTTTTTCACATTTACGAGCTATTTTTCATACTCCAAGACTGCTGTCTATTTTTTATTGGGAAAGTCATTTTTTCTTATCAACTTGCATTAACACTTTCTATATTAAGAAAAAATAATCATTTATCTGTCGTGTTCATGAAAAATGTTTTCATCCATTAGTTACCTTAATTGTTTGGAGTTATTTTTATGTATAGAAGTTGTGTTTTTTTTTTTCTTTTTAAATATACTCAAATCTATTAATCTTTTCCTTAGTGATTTTTTTCTATTGACTCTATACTTATAAAAACCTGCCCGACTCAGACATGAGACAAATATTCATCCATTTTCATTATTATTTTCATATTTCATGTCTTTTTCATCTATTTCCAACTTAATTTGGTATAAAATATATCAAATTTAAACTGATTCCTTTTCCTAGAGGGTCTTTTGTCCAGATACTGCTCATTGAAGGATTTGGGCTAATTCTTCCTTTTTCAGATGTGAAATTCTTATATAGACCAGATTCTTTTCCTAGGTTCCCTTTTCTGTTCCATTGGTCTGTGTATCTATTTTTACATCAGTATCCCATTATTTTAATGATTTTACCTATATTAAATGAGAGACTCCTATTTACAGATCTATTACTGATAAACACTCTTCTTTCAAAACTTTTTTTCTATTCTTGTAGTATTCTTCCAGATAACTACTTAAGAATCATTTTTCCAAATAATTTTTTTTATCCCTTGGGATTTTGATTAGAGGTATGAGTATATGGCTTTTTGAGACTTACTCCTCTGCTGGTCTGTTTTAACTAGGAGCTGTTCTTCCATATGGTCAAATATAATATTACATACAAGCTCTTCTGTGACATTTGTCCCCTGGTCAGAGTCCAGATTTGGCAGACCAGCTATTATGTTTTAGATTGATGCAGTCCTCTCTCATCTTTTCACTGTTGCTTCCACATGGATTCAGGATATCATCCCTATACACCTGGACTCCAAGACAACTTCCTGCAGGGCTCCTGTCCTCCAAGTGTTCCCTCCCAGACTTTCCTGTATATTGCTACTTCCTCAACATTCCTTTCCACATATCCTCTGCCAAGAACCTACGATGGCATTAGTTTGCCTTATCAAGCCAGGCTGGCATTGTAGACTCTCCACAGTCTGATTCAAGGTAAAATCTAATGGGCCCATGTCAACAGATGGGATAAAGAAGAAGGAAAAAAAAGAATGGGGATATTGTGAGCTATATATCATAAATAAAATCCTACTGCAATAGAATATATGGGAAATCTCTATACTTTTCACTTTTGCTGTGAACCTAAAACTGCTCTAAAAAAAATAAAGCCTATTAAAACAAAAATTCTACTGCAATAACCTTTAAAGTAGTGTTTTCAAACTTTACTATCCACATTAAGAAATACATTACACTGAAATACAATACATACATACATACTTGGAACAAAAATCTGAAATACTACTTAACCTGATATCTAATTTTTTCTATTTGCATTCTGATATTTTCTCTCTTTTTTTGTTTTCTAAATACTTTACTTTTTGTTGAAAATGAATTTTGATAAATTTTTAAATTTTCTCTTTCTGAAAATAAACATTTTGATTTTTACAAATTGCCAAAAACTCAATAGTATTTTATCTTACAGCTGATAAAAAGGTGTTTGAGAAAAAATTACTGGAGGGTATGAAATCTTTCAAAGGTGAGTGAGAAAAAGGATAAGGACAGTAAAATCTGAGAATGTCGTAATTGTTTTTTCTGGTTATAAAGAAAATCAGAAAATGATGCATTTATTTAACAAATATCCAAGTGTCCACTACATGCTGGGTATTTGAGAATAATCTGGACTACATAGAGAGGCATACATTGAAAAAAATGTAATTACCCATAATCTCAAGTAATATCTTTTTTAATTATAGTATTCTATTTTCTTTATTCTGTGTATATGTGTGTTGTTAATTAAACTTTTTGTCCCCTTTTTTTAAAATTAAGTTTATTGGAATAACATTGGTTAATACAATTATATAATTTTCAAGTGTACCTTATATCTTGACATCTGTATATTCTATTGTGCGTTTACCACCCAAAGTCCAGTTTCCTTCAGCTACCATATATTTGATCCCCTTTACCCACTTCACCCTCCCCCTATCTCCCTATATTTGATCCCCTTTAACCGTCTACCTACCTCCTCCTCCCCCATCCCCTACTCTCTGGTAATCACTAGCCTATAGTCTATGTCCATGAGTCTCTGTTTGTTTGTCCTGTTCATTTCTTGATTTTAGGTTTATATCCCACATATAAGTGATATCATGTGATTTTCAACTTTTTCTGTCTGGCTTATTTCACTTAATATGATTATTTCAAGGTCCATCCATGTTGTTGCAAATGGCAGTATTTCATCTCTTCTTATGGCTGAGTAATATTCCATTGTATATATGTACCACCACTTCTTTAGTCAGCATTCTGATATTTTCTATTCAACCTTATCATTTCATTTGTTTTAAACGATGGTTGCAACCTATATAATGATTTCACAACACACTAATTGGTCATGAAATGCAGTTAAGAGTTCCTGCTCCAAAGGAAACCTTGAGAAAAAGGATTATGATAAATATATTGCTTAAAATTAAAATCATATGTCTCATTTGATGCTTGCTCTCTCTGTGGTATATTAGCAAAGGAAAATAATTAATTAGATCCCACTGGGGAGAAAAAATGATTTGTCATACAGTTCCTATCTTTCATCCTTTTCTTCCTCCAAGATCCTGGGATCTTTTGTACATGTAAAAGTGTGTGTGTGTGTGTGTGTGTGTGTGTGTGTGTGTGTGTGTGTGTAGATAGGTTTGATAGAAAAGTTTCACATAACTGCATTGTTTTAGAAGAATGCAGAAGGCAATGGGTGATTGCTATTTTACAACAGAACAAATTCATATTTCTTCTTCCCCAGTCCTAAAATACATGATTTATATGAAATATTTGTTGTTTCTGTTTAGTAACAGTTAGGTGCATGAAGGTTAGCTAAAACATGTTTTTTTGTTTGTTTCTTTGTTTTCTTTTGCTGAGGGTTGGTTGGTTAGTTACTATTCACTATAACCCGAGTAAGAAATCTAGTTGCTCTGAACCCTCTTGTTAGGAGGGGCAATGGCTGTTACATAAACTTTTTTTGTAATGGAATTCTACACATAACTTGTATTGCTCTCAATCTGTACTAATCTTAACTCTCTCTGAGAAAGACAGCTGTCACAACAGATAAGACTGAAAGTAGCAAATTCAATGTGTCATCTTTCTTCCATTATTCACTATATGTGTCAACAGCCCTATGGCCAGGGATAAGGAGACCTAACCTCAATATTCAAACTAGACTGATCCAGATCATGACTGGTTAGAGCAAATGTAATAGAAACCAAGTTCTAATATCTCCCCGACCACCTCCAATTTAATGACAGATCAGAAATGGCTCTGACCCATGAAAGATCACTCACCTATGCAGGTGGGTATTGGGATCTTCTCACTGACATGAAGGTGCAGTTCTGTCAGCTCTTCCCCATAGTCTGCTGAATTAGTTAGGTCAGGCTTGGAACTGGAAATGCCTGGTACAGAGAAAGATGATATATGGGCCTAGGTAGGGAGGATTGGGGACCAAACTTTTTCAAAGGAGTACTCTGAGTGTGAAAGGAAATATGAAGGTTCTGGAGACCACTTAAAGTAACCCATCTTAGAAGGATATGCGGAATGTCTAAGACACCAGTACTTACAAGATAAACAGGATATATGGTGAAGACCACAAAAAGAAGAATCTGGACAGGTGAAGTCAGACCACCTGGCAGGCTGGTGCAAGGGTCTTGATTAAGACCCCTCCTATAATTGGTTGAGATAGTGTGGTTTAGTATTAAAGAGCATGGACTCAGAGCCAGCCACAACTGAGTTCCATCGTAACTCAGCACTTATGAGCTATGTAACAGTGAGCAGGTGACTTAATTTGACACTCACCTTCATTATCTTAAAATGAGAATACTATGACTCATGTCATAGATTAAAGGAGTTACTAAATGTAAGGCAACCACAACAGTTCCTGGTTCACAGAATACTTTTGAAAGAAAAAAGCGAGTTCTTACTATAACCCTGCTATCTCCAACTCACCCAAGTTCCCAATGGTGTCTCTAATGATTTTCTTTACCCAGAGAACTCAAGTAGAGTAGCTATCTCTCTAAACGTACACAGAAAATGCTTAATAATGTTCCCATTTCTTTCCATCGGTCTAACCCATGCCCTCACCTCCTGAGACCATTTTCCCATAGGTCTCCAGCATGAAATCCCAGTATTGCTCCTTTTGAGTGGAATCCAGGTTCCTCCATTGCTCCTAAAAAAAAAAAATACAAGGCTATGACTCCAATGAAAGCCTTTGAACTCTACCTTCTCTGCCTATAGGAGGCTGAGAAGAAATGAATGTGCCTTAGGATCCTGGCCACCAGAAGATGTAAGAAGTCATGGGAGGTGGTTCAAGGGAAAAGTTCAAGAGTAAACTACAGTCCCTACATTAGTATTTCTTGCCCTGGTTAGAAAACATTTAGGTTTTAAGTTATGTATTTTTAAGTTGTATGTATTTAAGAGTGGAGAACAGAGAGAACGTAAGAGCCCTTTCTATACTGTCCTTTTCTTTAACTCCTTCAGTGCTTAAGAGGTCTTTGAAGAGAAGGTGCCTGATATTTCCAATATTTTATTAAAATCTGGAAATTCAAGAGAAAAAAAGAAGACATTAAAAAAGTAATTGTTGGAAAAACAACTGCAAATCGGCAAAAAGGTGGAAGAATCAACATGCAGTCAACTGAGTTGTAAGTCTCACTATGAAACATATTGGGGATTCAGAGCAGAGAGAGATGCTGCAGCCATTCACACTTGGAATCTCCTGATAGTTCTGAGTTTAGAGTCTAAGGTTAAATCAGTTTTCCTCCCAGTGAGTGGGAAATTGGTGGGTTCTCTAGAGCAAGGTGTCCCTCAGTTATCCCCACAACATTTCCCTAGGGAACTGCAAACTAGAGACTCAAGCCTAAGAATGTCTTACTAGGGTCTACTTTCATGAATTCAAATTTCAATCTCCCCAACAAGGGGAGATTGAACAAACTGTTAGAAACTAAGTTTATATAGCAGAGTGATTAACTGCACAGTCTTTGGAGTCAGACAAACTAGGTTTCAAGTCCCAGGTTGCCACTTTCTAGCTGCATAATCTTGAGCAAGTTACTTAATCTTTCTGGGCCTCGGTCCTTACCTAATGATAGTACTGAACTCAAAAATTGTTGAGAGGCTTAACAGAAATAAATGCAAGTGTCATCTGTCTTCATAGAACACTATACTTTTCATTCATAGCATTCATTACAGTTTATAAAAAATATATATGTATATGACAGAATACCTAATGTGTTTTTATACACACATATAAAACTATTTAATTAACAGTTGGCTCAACAAGCACATAAATACCATGAGAAAAGGACTCTCCACTGCACTCTTCCAGTCCCCAAGACTCTGTCCAAGACAGAGCAGTTACTCAATATATGCTGTCTGGGTGAAGTATACAGCTCTTAGCAAACAAGTCCTCAGTAGATGATACATTTTATTATCACTATCATATGTAGTCTATGGGATACTCAATCTCCAAGACTCACCTCCCCTAAGGGTTTGCAAGGAGAATTAAGAGATTCTGTACACTTTGAGGAACCCTAAAGTTGATAGCCACACACTATTGTCATGAATAGCCAACCACACTATTGAGGGCAGAAAAGAAGAGACTGAAAAGGTGAAATTATATTCCTATTGCAAATAATACACTACTCAGAGAAGCCATTCTCAGTCCTAGCACAACAAAGGGAAGTGGAAATGGTTGAAAGAGAATGGAGACACCAAAAAGTTTTTCACTAGCAGATACTAAGCAAAGAAAGAAAAGAAGGAGGAGGAGAAGGAGGAGAAGGAGAAGGAGAAGGAGAAAGGGAAAGGAAAAAGGAAAGAGAGAGAGAGAGAAAGAGAGAGAGAGAGAGAGAGGGAGGAAGGGAGGAAGGGAGGAAGGAAGGAAGGAAGGAAGGAAGTGAATTTGTTATGGCAAAAAAGGTAAAAAGGTGAAAAGTGACCTTAATGTATTTAACTATATATTTATTAACTATAACCACATTTTAATATAAACTTTATTTTTTTTATTTTTAAAGTAGGCATTATTGAGTTAATTTTGTCATACTTCTGTGAATGAAACTACCTTATCAATTTCTTGAAACTAACCAGCTTGAGCAAACATTGCTGAATATAATTCTTGGTCTTTACAGTCAGAACACAGACCCTTGCATCAGCACTGGTGAGAAAAGGATGGGAATGCCAAGTACCATAACATCTGATTACCTGCTTGGCTTGCTCAACACAAAGCCTATTCCGTGGGCACCATAATAGTAGATACTAAGTTCAGTACAAGACAAACTAGAATATAGCCATCAAAATCCCCAAGGGCCACAATCAGTCCTTTCAAAATCAGAAGATACCTCAGGAGTCTCCAAACAGTGTACCTCCAGCTGAAAACCACAAAACTCATTCAAGGAGCTGTCAAGCAGCAGGGATACTTGAATAATACCCCTTACTTAAGAGGCAAGACACCAACTGCAACCATATTGCTTTTTCTCATTTTTATAACAGGAAGAAAATCTAAATTCCTATTCTGAAAGGGCAAAATATGACATTTGATGGGGAAACAATCTCGATTTTGTGGAAACAGCACCATCTTGTGGGCTTACGAGACATTACCACAACTAATTTGCACAAAATTCTTGTACTGTTCTTTCCCAAAGTTTGAAAACATGGGAATGTGAGTAAATGCTTCCCCAAGTCTATGTGAGGAGCTAATTTAGTCATGTTTTCTAATAATAAAATACCACTGTGTAGGGACGCTACTACATTTTTCTGGCATTATTCACCAAGTTCCTAACTTCTGGAAGAGATTAGGGGAAGTAATCACTTACATTCAAAAAATCTCTTTTCATTGAAACAATCATCAAAAACCTACCAAAAAGTAAAAGTCCAGGACTAGATGGCTTCACCAGTTGAATTCTACCAAACAGTCAAAGAAGATTTAATACGTATTCTCCTCAAACTCTTCCAAAAAATCGAGGAAGAAGCAATACTTCTCATTTTCTAAGACCAATATTACTCTGATACTAAAACACAAAAAAAGAAAACTACAGACCAATATCTGTCATGAACACAGATGCAAAAATCCTAAATAAGATACTAGCAAACCAAATACAGAAACATATTAAAAAGATTATACATCACGATCAAGTGGGTTTCATCCCAGAGGCACAAGGACGGTTTAACATACGCAAATCGATTAATGTGAACATCACATAAACAAATTAAAAAATAAAAATCATATCATCAAATCAGTAGATGCAGAAAAAGCCTTCGACAAGATGCAGTATCCATTTAGGATCAAAACACTTAACAAAATTGGTATAGAAGGAAAGTACCTTAACATAATAAAGGCCATATATGACAAACCCTCAGCCAATATTATACTTAATGTTGAAGTACTGGTGAAAAACTAAGATCAGGAACAAGGCAAAGCTGTCCACTATCGCCACTCTTATTCAGTGTAACGCTGGAAGTCCTAGCGAGTGCAATCAGACAAGAGAAAGCTATAAAAGGCATCCAAATAGGAAACGAAGAAGTCAAACTGTCACTATTTGTGGATGACATGATTCTCTATATAGAAAATCCTAAAGACTCCACAAGAACACTAATAGAAACAATAAACAAATACAGTAACGTCTCTGG